GGGGCATTGCGGGAACCATGCAGGAGGAAGATCACTGGTAAGAACCTTGATTAGGGCAGGGTACTACTGGCCCAAAATGGAGGAAGAAGCGGAAAGTTTCGTGGCTAAATGCGATAAATGTCAGAGATACGGTAACAATATGCACCGACCAGCAGAATTATTACATCCGGTTATTGCCCCGTGGCCATTCATAAAATGGGGAATGGACATAGTTGGACCATTGCCTCAAGCAAAAGGATAGGTAAAATTTCTTCTCGTACTTACTGATTATTTCACTAAATGGGTGGAGGCAGGAGCATTTAAACAGGTGCGAGAAAAGCAGGTCAAGGACTTCATTTGGCGTAACATCATCTGCCGATTCGGTGTACCAAAGGAAATCGTATGTGACAATGGTCCTCAATTTATTGGAGCTCAAGTCTTAGAGTTTCTTGAGAGTTGGCAAATAAAAAGGATTACATCTACACCTTATCACCCAGTGGGTAATGGACAAGCAGAATCAACAAACAAAGTGATCATTAATAATTTAAAGAAGCGATTAGAGGAATCAAAGGGTAATTGGCCTGAAGTGTTACCCGGAGTTTTGTGGGCATATCGCACAACAACAAAAACGAGTACAGGTGAAACACCCTTTTCTTTGTTTTATGGAGCTGAGGCACTAATCCCAGTAGAAATAGGAGAACCAAGTACAAGATTCTCGCAAGCAACACAAGAATCTAATGATGAAGAGATGCGGGTCAATTTAAACTTATTAGAAGGCAGGAGAGAAGCTGCGTTAATAAGAATGGCCGCACAAAAACAAGTGATCGAACGTTAGTACAACAGGAAAGCACGTCTGAGATACTTCAAAATTGGGGACTTCGTGCTTAAAAAAGTTCTTCAATCTACAAAGGCAGCCAACGCGGGCAAACTAAGTCCTACCTGGGAAGGACCCTACAGAGTTCGTGATATTGCAGGAAAAGGAGCATATGAGTTGGAAACAATGGACGGGAAGATACTTCCTTCACACTGGAACGCTGTTCATTTGAAGAGATACTACTTCTAAGGGAAAACTCACGGTCAGGTATCGCCATGTTAAATTTTATTTTTTGAATTGTTAAAGTTTTACTAACGATTTTAGATGATAGGCAAAACGCTCATCCGTACTAAATGATGAGTCACGACCTGTAAGGCAGAATGGAATGAACTAAAATTCCTGGCCAAAGGTTACAATTATTCTGATAGAAATATAAATGGGTTGAGCAGTCTTCATCTATAATCGCACCCCCGAGTCCCGTATGTATTTCCTTTTCAGGAAAAGGACCAGGTAAAAGAGACTATCAAGTGCTCGAGGCTTCATACTTCAACACTCAAACACTTGGGGGACTACATAGAATATACAGTCACGTGTATATAAAAGGCAAGAAGATTGAGTAAAATCAAGCCTAAAGAAGAGTCAAGTACGGAGTGGAAGTTAAGGAGTCATAGCATTCATCATAGTGTTCTTTCCCATGAGAACAATGGAGTCACTTCTCAAAACCCTTCCTAATGTTTTGAAGTTAAGAGGACCCAAGGTACCTCAAAAATGGTTAGGGTAAAGACTATGTACTAAAACGGGTTATAAGGAAAAACCCCGTATCTATTGTTCTTCTTTTTTGCATAAATCTGTTACAAGAAAAACAGTTACGAGAAAGTTATTGATGTAATTCAAATACATGTAAAGGATTACTCAAAACTTGTCAAAGTTCAGAAATGAAAACTTGTCCAAGTTATTACAAAGAAACATGTGTGTTCCTATTTCTTTTATCGTATAATAAACACCATTATGAAGTTGTGACGTCTTCTTCATCAAGTATCAAAATATAAAAGGGCCTTCTTTTATGAAACTCATGATATTTAGTCGTGAGATTAATGGAAGCATTTTTCAACGAATAAAAATGCAGTCTATTCTTTAAGTCCTTGGACATAAAAGGCACGAATAGAATAGGTGGAAGTTTAAAGACAACTTCTCAATATTTTAAAACTAAAGACTAAGTATAAACTTAGTCATCGAACTGTTCATACAAACGCCCCTTAACAAAACTTGGGGACTTGTACCTTAAACCCGGGGTTTGATTACAAAAAACTATCACAAGAAACCAAAAATCTTAAACATAGTTTTCTAGATTGGTACCTGCAAAAAGGGAATTTAAAACAGTTATAAAATTTCTTTTAAGAAGAAGGAACTGAAGAAAGATCATCAGCGGGCTCAACTGGAGAAGCATCATCAACAATTGAAGGTTGAGCTTCAATCATAGCAGTAGGAGTATCAACGGGTAAAGTCTTGGTTTGACTAACAGCAGGAAGTACGGGTGAACTCGAGGAAGGTGTGACACTCGTGGCAATTTCAACAGTCACTGGGACTTCAACTGTGGGAGTCGCAGCCAAAGGAGTTTCAGTCATAGGAACTTCAACCTCGGGAGATGAAAAATCTTGTGGTTGTTGTGCTTGTTCAATGGCCTCATTTACCTTGGCTAATTCAGATTCCAGGTTGAAATTTTCTTGACTCATCTCAACCAAGGTGTCACGACGAGACTTTAAGAAGGTCCAACTTACCTCAACATTGGTTGACTCTTCGAGAAGTTCATAGTCTCTCTCCCAAGCAGCCACTTCATTCTTAAGTTCCTCGTTTTTAGTTGAAACAGAGCTGTAAGATGATTGAAGTATGGCATGAGAACTCTCTAAGGCATGAACCTTGTCTGCATAAGTTCGTAGTTCTTCCTGAACCCCGTGAAAGGTTTTAAGCTAGCTCCCCTGCATGCATTTCCTCCTGAGCCAGCAAAGTCTATAGAGTTTGATTTTCCTCGTTGATCTTGGAAAACTGTTCTGAGAAAGAGGATTCAAGGCGTTCTTTTTCCATCTCAGCTTGGCTTGAAGTAGCCTTAATTCTTGCCAGCTCGGAGGTCAATGTTTGAACTTGCTTTTCCAAGGTATTTTTCCTCTCCTCCAAGTTCTCCATATCAATTTGAGCACTTTCAAACTGGCCCTTCCAGTTGTTTGCCTCCAATTGAGAACCACGGGCAGCTTCCTCAGCATCATGAGCCGTCTTCTCCAAATCACGATCCAATTTTTCCAAAAGAGAGACTCGGGTCATTAGTTCAGTACCAATAAGGTTGGCCTACACAAATAAAAAGAAGAGGAGGTAAGGTTAGGATTTCAGAAATCAAAAGACTAAAGAAAAGAAGGCGAGAAAATACCTTCAAAGTCGCATGAACAATATCGTTCATGAGGGTCATATTAGTGTGGCTTTCAAGTTTAGCCTTCTCAATGGGGGCCAATCAAAGGTTTGAGCCAAGTGTCAGCCTGTCCAGACTTTCTTAAAAGACTGTTGTTGGCAGGAACCTCAAGAGTCACGCTCCTCATAGCAAAATCCCTGCTCGAAGACTCCGCCTCTGTACGGTGGACAGTAGGGGGAGAAATTGTTAAAGGAGGAGCAGCGGAAGGAGTAGAAATAGTGGAGGAAGGTACGGAAGTAGTAATTGAAGAAGGCAAGGGTGCAATCATAGGAACTGAAGAAGTAAAAGAAGACAAGGGAGGTTCATTTAGAACAGGTCCTAAAGACCCACTACCGAAACCACTAATAAAAAGTTGGTTTATAGATTCATGAGTGTCAGGAGAAGGGGAAACATCATCATCAGGGATGATCACCGGAGTAATGACAGGTTCGGAAAGAGATAGGCGAGGGGAGACATCAGCCTTATCTTCAGAGACGATACGTCTCCTGGTTCGTGGCCTTGGCACCAGAGAACCCTTGCCTTCTTCCTCAGAATCATCGTCTTCAGCAGATTTTCTCTTTACAGATCCCAAGAATATATCTTGATCTGAAGAGGTGCGAGCACTTAAAGAATCACGAGATGCCAAAATGGCCTCTAGGATAACTCCTCGAATGGCAAAACCTGATAAAAAGAAGGGTAAAAGTTAGAACGCCAAAAATATTTAAATATAGATAAAGTGAAAATAGAAATCCTTACCATGAGTTTTAACTTTCCAGCCATAACGGTTGGAAAGACTTTTCTATGATCTACCCTCTATTGGGGCAATCTTCAGTAACTTATCTACCCAACCACGGAAGTTGGGTACAGGTTCCACAACGCCCATGGTTGCTGAAGAGAAAAAGAGACGAGATTAAGAAAGGTAAGCAAGCCTGAAAATAAAAAGGCATGAGAAAAATTTAATACTCACGTGCAAAATTCCACTTCTCTAGGAAGCGTACGTTCTTTTCACCCACTAAACCAATAGTGGGAGCAGCAACATACCGGGCATACCAGCCACGGTCTTTATCATCCTCGGGGCTAACTAAAACCCTCTTACTCCTAGCTGCTAAGCCAAACACACCATTTCGAAAAAGCCTAGGTGAGTAAAGATGAATCAGGTGGGGAAAAGTGAATTCAACATTCGCCATGTTAGCAAGGTACCTCAGGCAAGCAACAGCTCTCCATACAATCGGACCAATTTGGCCCAAACACACATCGAAGAAACGACAGAAGTCCAGAATGACCGGATCAATGGCCGGTTTAAATCCTAGAGTAAAGGGATATGTGTAAACAAAAGAGCATCCTATTAAGTAGGATGTAATCCTTTGATTTTGGTTAGGAACGATAATTGGAAAATCATCACTCCAGTGACAGTCCTTACGCCCTATGGGGGCTAAAACCTCTATGATTTGAGTAGGAAAGGGGTCAGCACGATCTAAAGATTCAATTTGAGTCTTAAGGGACTCTCTATCATGGTGAAAGGAAATTTCAGAGGGAACTATTTCCTCAACTAAAGGCTCACGAAGTGGCTCGGAAGATTCTTTGTTACGAGAAGAATTCCTTTGAGAATGTGAACCTCTAGTCCCAGAAGAGGGACCAGAACTAGAAGAAGGAGTCGACATACTACCACGAGCAGATCCAAGGTTACGGAGTCTGCCCCCTCTCCTATGCCTAATAGGAGCATTGGGAAAGCTATCCAGAATAGGGGTTCTCTTAGGGTTAGATGAAGCCATGGCAGAGAAGGTTGAAGTGGAGCAGAGAAAAGGAGAAGGTTTCGAAAAATTGGAGCGTTTGATATGCTTTATGTGAAACAAGACAAGAAGAGAAGTTATATTTATACTAATGGGTAACCGGCAAAGGAAAAAAGTACAATGATGGAAGAGCCATAATGATGATAACTGACATTTCGTGAAAAGTGAAGCCGAAAAGAAAGCCTAAAAAAGTACTGCTAAGAAGTGCAACCAATAGAGAGATGACACGTGTCAGTTGCATTAAAAGGAAGTGACAGTTGAAGCGTCAACTTTGTCAGAGCATTAATGGTGACAAAAATTCTCCTTTAATGAAACTCCACTTCCTAAATATTCAAACTGATGAATAAATGAAAAGTAGGGGGACTATCTGTATTGGGGAAAATTGTATTCATATACATGTTGACGTGGCATGACACGTGGAATGCTCAATAAATTATGATCAGTCACGGTTCAAGGGTTGTGAACAGCTACGGGAAGAAAGAGGCACGAGACGAGAGATTCAATGCCCCGTCCCTGTTTAAATTCAGCGCCCTATTCCTATTTAAGCTTATTTACACAAGAGCGATGAGAAGAATGACCCTGGTTAAAGAAAAAGGGGAAATACGGCATTAACTATTGAAGCCGTTAAGGAATATATGCAATGGTTATGTAACGCAACATTTAATATCATTAAATACTCATAATAGTCTCATTACGGCTTAGGCATAACGTACGTTTCTAGAGATTCTCAAAGGTACCTATAAAAGGAGAAATATGTAATCAGTTATAGAGGAAGTGACTATCGGAATATATCTTAATTTTCTTGCTTTCTACTGATATCATTTTCAAGTCTCTTTATTTACATTCATTTTTCGATTATCAGTAACCCGATTCTTCTAAATTCAAGCTTTGCCAAGAAATCTATTTTTTTGGTTAAACACACATGGGGTCGGTTGTGCTGATACTACACTCTGTGCTCTTTTGCACAGATCCAGGTATCGGACAGCAGCAGTAGTTCGGGAGCTAGTCTTCAGTCCACGAGATTCCCGAGGTAGGCCTGCAGACGTCCGCAGGCCCGGCATCTCCTCTATCTTTATTTATGATCTGTTTCCTTTTGTATCCGAGACACACTTTATTCCTTGTTTCAGACAGTTGTATGTAGCACTCTTAGATAGTCCGTGAATGTTGTGACACCAGTCCTGGGCAGTTTATTCCTTGTTTCAGACAGTTGTATGTAGCACTCTTAGATAGTCCGTGAATGTTGTGACACCAGTCCTGGGCAGAGATATATGTGGATTTTCCTTGTTATTTTGGTTTACTTCGTTAAGTCTTTCGCTTTAATTTCATATTTCCGCTGTTATTCTAATATTTAACGCTTGTTGATATGATTGGTAAAAAGAAATTTAAAATGAAAGAGTTAGGAGTTTATGATTTGTGCTTGCCTAGCTTCTACGAGTAGGCGCCATCACGACTCCCGAGGGTGGAAAATCCGGATCGTGACAATACGTTTAACCGTGGCCAGGGTGAGGTTAAAGAAAAAAGAGTTAAGAAAAGATTATTTCTTTAAAAGGTTGGGAAGAAGAGATGAACAAAGTGGACTAAAAAAAAAGTATAGAAGGGGTAATTTCAGTTCATAATTTTGATAATACTGTAACAATATATGTCTACAGAATAAGAGAGAGAGAGTACCGAGTAGGATTTTACAACATAAGAGTTTAACATTTTTACCTTATAAATTTTACCGTACCAGTAAATTTATCAAGTCTATATTATATTATATTTATCAAGACTCATATTATATTATATTTATCAACTTTTACCTTATAAATTTTACCGTATCAGTAAATTATTTTACCGTACCAGTAAATTTATCAAGTCTATATTATATTTATCAACTCATATATATATANTATATATATATATATATATATATATATATATATATATATATATATATATATATATATATATATATATATACATACATATACATACACACACGCAGGGGCGGAGCTAGATTGCCCCCAACGGGTTCGGCCGAACCCAGTAGCTTTGGTTCAAATCATGTATTTGTCTTAAAAAATCCATTGAATACGTATAATTAAATTATTAATTTAGAACCCAGAACTTAAACGATTAGAATCCCGAACCCATAAGCATGAAATTTGACTCCGCCTCTGTGTACACGTCTAATTAATGTATAATCAGTGTATACTAATTAAGAAAAGTAAACAATAAATTAGACCTTGTGTTTATATATACTGCACTGCATGTGTATTCATGCATGCTGCACGTTCAAAACAAACCCTCACGTAGACAGAGAAGGGAAAGACTAATTAAATTCTTCATTTATTGAAATTGTGAAAATTCAAATTTAGGCGAGTAATTTTAGGTGGAAATGGGTTTTTATATAATTACAAAAACTAATAGTATCCATTTTCTGATTTTGGCCCATAGATTATTTTCCTTATAATACCTCCTTAAACCCACAGACATCATCGCTTTACTTCCGCCGCTGCTGCCACTGCCGCCGCGTTGCAGCGGAGTTATGGACATGGATATGGATGATCCATCAAGCCACCACGACGAACATGAAGATGATGTTATAATTGATAGTGACGAAGAAGGTACAGAAAAATCAATATATGCCCAATTATAGAACAAAAGAATAAATTTGTGGTTGCAGAGCCAACTTCATGAAATTTTAATTATGGCGGTAATTCTGGGTTTAGACTTTGAATTACTCACTAATATGGATATTTTTGGGATAATGGTTTCAGATGAAGCTGATGATTCGGTTCATACATTCATGGGCCATACTGGTATTGCACTTCTTTGATTATAATTAGATTTATGGCCATTTATAAGAAAAATAAATAAATTTGTGGTTGCAGAGCTTGATAATGCTGATGAAGAAGCTGAAGAAGATGAAGAAGGAAAAAAAGGTTCAATTTCTTCTAGAAACTTCTTTTGTTTTCTCAAAGTCTTTAGCTTTCCGATGTACTCATGAGTTACTTTTGGTTATTCATGTTGCTGCTGTAATTTTTTTCTTACATATATCTGCATGCTATCAACTTTATGAAATTTAATTATTGCTGCAGTTCTGGGTTTGGATTACTTATTTGTTTTGGAGCTTTGGGTTTATGTTTAAAACTTGATTTTTTTAAAAATTAATTAGCACACTAATATGGATATTTGGGTTAATGGTATTGTACTTCTTTTAGTATTCCTGTAATTCCATACTGAATAATGACAGTTGATATGAATACTGGAGGTTGCCTGATGTTGTGTTGAGTTCACAATTATGGACATGAACGAAGAAAATTCAGTTTGTTGGCCTTTTTGTGTGGGCTATTGCTCGGTTTTTGGCTGACTAGATAGGGAAACTTTGAGTAGTCAAAAGCGGTTCCAAAGTCTATTGTAGCTTTACGCGCAATTTGATGTGGGCTTTATAGCAAAGAAAAGAAAAAAGAAAAACGGAAATGTAATGCACGAACATATAACTATACATGTCAATTGGAGGAAGAGTATGCTATAGCCAATCAAGTAAGTGGATCAAATACAAAGGTTGGCAGCCACATTGGGGTGTGAAATAGGAGCTCCTCGTAAAACTTACTTGGGTCTAGCACTGGGGGCAAAGAGCAAGTCCCCTGAAATATGGCAAAGGGTAATATAAAGGAGTGAAAGGGGATTGGCAAAATAGAAAAGTCAGTATCTTTAATTAGGTGGTAGGGTGTATTAGACTCCTTTCCTACTTATGTAATGTGTTGGTTCCCACTTCCAGCTAAAGTGGAAAAGAGACTTGATACATTGTGAAGGAACTTTATCTGGTAAAAGGGAATAGGGAGAGCAAATTATTTCATTTGGTCGAATGGAAGACTCTCATATCTAGCAAGAGAATGGGAGGCATTTCATTTTGGAACCTGTACATGGTTACCAGCACTCTCTTTGTACTGCGATTTTTAATACAAATGTTACTTTCTCAAAGAAAAATATATTTATGATTCTAGCGAAATCATCTAGCTGTTAATATTGCGATCAGAACTTAATCTGGAACCTTGGAGCTATGGTAAAGTTGTCTCCGTGTGACCTATAGTCACGGGTTCGAGTCGTGGAATCAGCCGTTGATGCATGTATTTGGGTAGGTTGCTTACATCACACCCCCTTGGGGTGTGGTCCTTCCTCGAACCCTGCTTGAACGCGGTGCGCTTCGTGCACCGAACTTAATCTGGAAATGTATTGCATCAGATGTTGCTCCTCCAATTTTTGGTATTTCTATACAGGAATTTTCCCACACATCTAATCTGATTATTTACCTTATAGAAGAAATTGCATTAGATGTTTGTGGAACTACTTCACATAAGATGGTTTTATCTCACCGGCACGATATGGAGGTTAGATGTGTTTTCATTGATCATGTAGTTAATAGTTAGATGCATCAATGAGTTAATTGTAGCCGATGCCTCCTGATTGGGCATGGTTTGTAATTAGTTTGTACTTTGATGTTGATTTCTTTTACTTTTTTCTTTTCTTTATAAGTTAATTGTTTCAATAGCTTTTCCTCTTTATAGGTGAAGTATACACTGTTACCTGCAGCCCAACAGATACTAGTTTGGTGGCAACAGGTGGTGGAGATAACAGAGGATTTATGTGGAGGATTGGTCAAGGTGATTTTGCCTTTGAGTTAGAAGGTAATTAAGTCATGACTAACACCAAGAATATTTGTCTTGTCTTTGTCATCTGAATGGTTCAACATTTTGTGTTGCTAATTAGATGAACTTTGAGATATGGTGCAGGTCACGAAAATTCTGTATCTAGTTTGGCATTTAGTACTGATGGTCAGTTGCTTGCTTCTGGGAGCTTTGATTGGCATATAAGAGTGTGGGACATAACTTCATGTAGTTTGAAGGGCACACTTGAAGGTCCTGGAGGCGGAATAGAGGTGAAACATTTTTTCGTGCGTAAGAAATCCGATGTTGTGTAACAATTTGGGATCAATTAAGAAATGTGAGGTTGCTCAGTGGGTCAGGTGGCATCCAAGAGGACATGTGGTGTTGGCAGGTTCAGAGGATTCTTCTGTTTGGATATGGGATGCTGATAACATGGCTTTCATGAACATGTTGTTAGGTCATCGTGGTAGTGTAACTAGTGGTGGTTTCACTCCTGATGGTATTTCCTTGTTCCTTCGTTAAAATTCTCTCTTTTTCTCCTTTTGAATAGAACTTACGTTTCTTATATATGATTGCTCAGGTAAATTAATTTGTACCGGGTCTGATGATGCGACTCTTAGGATATGGGACCCAAGGAGTGCCCAAAGTATCCATGTTGTAAGTGGTGAGGCTTTTGCTTTCTGGCCTTGATTTCTTTTCCATTATGCATTTCAAAATTAGATGAAAAGTGAAGCTGTAACTCCCCACCCCTCCCCAAAAAGAAAAAAAAAAACCAAAACACACAGAGAGAAAGCAGGTTGGGGGCCTAAAAATGGCACTTCTCAAAAAGAAATAAAAAAGACTTCAGTTTCTGGCAATCGTAACAAAATGTGTTTCCATATTTAGTGGGATGTGGTTGAGATATAAAATGCTGGATAAAAACTGTGGACTGAAGCATTGGTTAATACGGTATATTGCTAAGTTAGCATTTCTCTTCTTTCATCCTCAAGGACCTTAATCTATTCTAATCATTGTCTTGCTTGTTCTTTTCCTTTCGTTATGTTATGTTGAGATGGCTCTCTGTACTTCCATTCCAAGAAATGTTATTAGCACTTGTATCAGTCGCAAAATTTTCTGTCATAGCGCTTGTCTTTATTGGAGAAACTACTTTTTTTCTAAATTAATAAATGATTTCTCAGATCTGGTCTTATTATTTGTTTGTTGTTCTTTTGAGAAAATGTTTATTTGTTGTTGCAAGGTCATCCATATCACACGGAAGGACTGACATGCTTGACGATCAGCTTGGATTCAACTCTTGCTCTAACAGGTTCAAAGGATGGTTCCGCTCACATTGTGAATATAACTACTGGAAGGGTCAGAATTTCGATTGATGATACTTCACACATTCCATTTTTCACAATGTTTTTCCTGTAATTGATGCTTCCAGACCTCGGAGGCAGTTTTGGCTGATCACTGTTTAATATTTTCTGTGTCAGGTTGTCACTTCTCTGAGTGCTCATACAGATTCGATAGAATGTGTCGGCTTTTCAGCAAGGTTTTATCTCCATCTGACATCTTTTTTTTCTATCCTTATATTTTAGCCTTTGAATGCCTTTGATTTGAAAGAGCGCTGAGGATATGGATTGGAAAAAAATGTGCAACAACTAAACCACATGTATGTGAATGTGCCTTGACCACTGAAGACTTGACTGTCATATTGTCAAATTGCTAGAAAAGGAACCAGATGTTGTTAGCAAGCCTGAAGATGATTTAACTGAAGAGTCAGTAGTTATGTTGATATAGTCTAGGATAACATATCAGATTTATTGGTTAAGAACATTTAAAAGAAGAACATTTTGATGCACCTTCAGTATCAACTGTGCCTAAGCAGTCATCTATTAATTTATGTGCGGATCTTTTGTGGGCATAAAATTATTTTAGTGCGGAATTGGTTTGCTGCATTCAGATGTTTTGCAGTCTTCCTGTTGTATTTTGCGGGAGATGATTGCTAATAGTCTAAGTAACAGATTGTGGTTTCAAATGAGAACATCCTGCTTAGACAGCTTCGTAAAGCAGGCATAAACGTCAGCATTGATTGTTATTATGCCCTTGTTTCTTCTATGTGAGTCTAGATTGCTTTGAGATAAGCTTTTTGATAGTAACCCCTGAGGACCATTCTTCCTGAGCATACTACAAGGCATACTTTTTGTATGAAAGTCTCTTCCCATAGGATGGGTTTAAGATTGGGTCTATAGCAATCGCATGGACTATTTGGAGACAAGAACAGGATGAAAGACTAAGACAAGGGTGTACCTCTTAAATAGATGACTTAGGGATAAACATAGTATGTAAGGCTTTATATCAATTTTCAATAGTTCAGCTAATCTCACTCTCTGAAGTTCAAATCCCTTTGCCTTCCTTCGATCCTGATTGATTGACATGAGTTACATGCCCTGAATGTTCCGCTATCTATTAGTAATTTTTGGGTTTGCTAAATTAATATTTGGCGCTTTAAACTACTTCCATCATGTGAAATGATTTTCAGCGCTCCTTGGGCTGCAACTGGAGGAATGGATAATAAGCTCATTATTTGGGACTTGCAGCACTCCTCACCTCGCTCCATATGTGAACATGAGGTTTGAACTTTCTTGTGCTCCAACTGTATATTTCTGTATCTGTACATGCAGTTGAACATCCGTTTGCTCTAAACCATAATTTTTTTGTGTGCCATTCGCTGACAATAACTTTGTTTAGGATGGCGTGACATGCTTATTGTGGCTGGGGCAATCTACATATGTGGCAACAGGTTGTGTTGATGGGAAAGTGCGGATATGGGATAGCCGTTGTGGAGACTGTCTGAGGACCTTTGGCGGACACACTAGTGCAATTCAGTCTATTGCTGCATCGTCCAATGGGGAGTACCTCGTTTCTGCCTCTATGGATGGAACAACGCGCGTTTTTGAGATAACGGACTTTAACTAAGAAGATCCTTATGGCTGTGTTGTTCTTAAAGAGTTAAAATAGTTACACTGAGGTTTGAGTACTACATAGAGCTCAAAGTTGCACTTTGCAAAGCATTTGTTTAATTCTTGTTTTCAGTTTTGCCCATATATTTTATAACTGATCACAGCATCTGAAGCTTAAGGTATTAGCAGAGTAAGTGTTCTTTGTTCTTTTGAGGTTCACATTTAAGTAAGATTATACTAGAATAAATCAAACGATTCGCAATGCAGCTGTTAGAAGGTGAAAACATACTAATTGGTGTAAGATACATAATATCAGTAATTTCAGTAATTTTCGCTAATTAGTGTCATTTTTTATACCTAATATTTTACTTTTATTTATTATTTATACATATAAATTATGAAATTTTTTTGACAAAGCGATGTAACGTGACACCAATTCATGCAAGGTGCCTATGCCCCTGCATAATATCTGCCCTCCCACTTTTGTCTATTTTACTTTATCTCATATAATTTGTTATTATATATTTTGTTTCAAAACTATATATGTAGTTTAGTGGAGATGACTGCTTTTTATTATTGGCACGGTAGTTGCCCCTTGATTGGCATTGATGCAATATGACCTATTGGTAAATCCTTAACTCTAGGCTTAAAAAAAAAATTAAATTGATTCAATTGTGATATAACACTCCATGCATAATATGGATTACAAACATTCATGATCAGAATTTTAATGATTCATCAGAGGATGTTTGATCGTATATATGGAAATTCTATAACTAAAACTTCTAAAAAGCGTTTCGGTTGCTTCTCCTTAACTGAAGCGATACAAATTATACATTTTTATTAAAAGATTCTCATTGTCAACCATCTAAAATTAAAAACTTACGATTAATAATGATGATTCTAAGTTTCTAACTATCTTATTATACCCTCGCAACGTATCGCATTTCCCTGGCTAAAACCTCACTAATACTGAAGACGACCTCAAAAAAAAGGAAAAAGAAAAAGTTCTATTCCTAATTTTTCTTGTTCAAATTTCTTCATATTCAAATAGTCACATTTTTATGTAACTAAAATAACGTTCTTTCCCAATTTTGGCCCATAAATTATTATCCTTCTAATACCCACCATAAAACCCCAAAATCACTAACATCCATCCCTCTTCTTCCGCCGCCGTAATCTCATTCATACGACGACGTTTAGGGTATAATCATGAACGCTCCATCACCTCACCACGAAGAAGACGAACACGAAGATGAGGTCTTCATAGATGAAAATGATATCATACAAGAAATAAACGTTGATGAAGAAGGTATAAAACAAAAATCCAATCTGTTTCCCCAAACTCTTATTTTTTTATTTTATTATAGTTAGATTTATGGACAACTACAAAACAAATAATGGTCGCAGAGTTAATTGATGCTGATGAAGATGATGAAGGAGAAGAAGAAGAAGGTGGAGGATTGTTAGGTGAGTTATGTTTGGCTCAGTGGAAGTCTTTTGTTTTAAGTTTTCAGCTTTCTATTTGACTTAATCACTTCTAGAAACCTTCTGAGTATATACAGCCAAAATTTCATATATCTTGGTTACTCATGTTTCTGCTGTAATTACTTTTACTTGCTCCCTCCATCCCAATTTACGCGAATGTATTAGACTGCACTCCAGGTTTAAGAAATAAAGAAAGACTATTGTAACTTGTGGTCTAAAACAAGCCATAAACATTTGTGTTGTTATAAATCACCTTATGAAGGGTAAAATGTAAATTTTAAAAGTTAAATTATTTCTATATATAGAATGGTGATACACTAAAAAGTAAAGTGTATCACATAAATTGTGACACGGAGAGGATATCTTGCTGCAAGCTGCAAACTTTGCGAAATTGAATTATTGCTGTAATTCTGGGTTTGGACTTTGTATTACTTATTTCTCATGTTGGGTGCATTTTCGTTTGGGGGGGGGGGT